GAGTATTCAAACATGGTAATCATGGTATAAGGACGTTGTGTTTTGTTATTCTCTTCTGTTTGTTCAGATGTGTGTATATAGATACACACATGTACACCATGTTGTGTTTTTATTGCATGTGTTTTTTTTCGGTGGGGGGTACTCTCGATAATTCGTCCAGAATCCCCCTGTAGGGGGACACGCCCCACCTAATTATAGCGCCGCGCACATTGATGTCAACATGTTGCACGGGGTGAACTGACGTGGTTCCCGAAATGAGGCTCTCGCCTCAGCGCCCGGCACATGCGGTTTGAGAGTTTGCAGCAGCGGGTGGATCATCGTCTACGGTAGGATATTTCCTGAGGTGCCATGCCACGAATATTACAAGCGCGCGGTCGTTAAACGGATGAAAGGCAGTTCTTTCTCAACACATGGCGCTCGCTAGACATATACTTTTGAGCTCGATGGCGATTGATGCATCTTTACGCTCCTAGTGTTTCCCAGGATGGAGGTCGCTTTCTCCTCAACGCTGGGCTCTCGCTTGAAGGACATGCTCATGGGACGCTCGTCTGTCAAGGGGGCGCTCTCCAAAATCCGAAATCACCCTTCCAACATGGACTCGTGGGAGGCGACTCTGGATGTCAAGACGTACAGCAGCGTCGTTGATGCATTCTGGGTTTGCTCCGGTTCCTTCGCCGCATCCGCCGCCGTCAACGCCGACCTCTGTTTCTGCCTATCCCCCTCTCTTCTCCCCCATCCCCTCCTCCTGCCCCCGCCCCCGATCTCTCTGCTCCCTTTCCCTTTCCCCCGACGCTCCCAGCGTCCCCTCATTCTCCCCCCCCCCCTCTCGCCCCACTCTCCCCGCCCTCTTCTCCCGTCACTCCTTTCTCTGGAAGGAGGAGGAGGAGGAGGAGGAGGAGGAGGGGGAGGAGGAGTAAGAGGAGAAGGATACGTTCATCCTTCTTCTGGGGCCCCTAGAAACTCCAGGACAGATGCCGCCGGGGGCTGCCGGATGCCATCATCCCCGCCCCTTTCTGTCTTTGTCGTTCCGTTTTATGTCAATTGCATTCACCCCAAACCCTTCTCGTCTGCAAAAAAAGACGAGCGCGGCTTTTACAGCGTTCGGCTTCTAGGCCCCCCTTTCCATGCTTGGGGGCCGTCCGAAAACTCGGGGTGAAACACTTGTCCCGAGGAAGGGAATCAAACCTCCAGGGGTCCACGTTGCAAACAGAAATCGCGTCGTCGGAGTCTTGGGTAGTTCCATCCCATTCCATCTGCTCCCTTCCATTCTCAGCCCCGCCCGCCGAGTCTCCTGGAGCTCTCTGGAGATCTCCACCATGCTCTACAGGTCCGGAGGAGGAGGAGGAGGAGGAGGAGGAGGAGGAGGAGGAGGGAGGTTTCCAAGTAGGACCCACGCCGCTCCAGAACCTCGATCCCTGACCCCCGCGACCCCTTTCGTTCCTCCTCGGGTGCTGCCGGGGATGGCCCTGGCCAAATGGGGCCCCCCTCCCAGCCTTCCGGGGAGCCACCAGAGGCCCCCCCTCCTCCTCCTCCTCCTCCTCCTCCTCCTCCTCCTCCTCCTCCTTGTCCTCCTCTCCTCCTCCTCCTCCTCCTCCTCTTCCTCCTCCTCCTCCCCTCCTCCCCTCCTCCTCCTCCTCCTCCTCCTCCTCCTCCTCCTCCTCCTCCTCCCCCCCTTCCTCCCCCTCCTCCTCCTCCCCCCCCTGCTCCTCCCCCTCCCCCTCCTCCCCCCCTTCCGTCAGGGCACCCTTCGCTCGCAGGCAGCGCCTCGCCCCCCCAATTTCCGAGTTCCCTCCCTGAAGAGTCCAGCGCCGTCCAGACGAGAAGGGGAGCCCCAGGGGGATCCGCACCCCCGGGGGCTGCTCGGGACGCACCCCGCAGGCGCCCACGCACTGCTTCCCCCCAGGGTCGACCGTTTCCCGCCCGCGCACCGTTTCAACCGGCAGGCGGTTCCACCGCTGCTCCGTGTCTCCGGACCTCCGCCAATGACATTCCAACCGAGTCGCTTGGAACTTTGATCCCGAAAATCCACCTCCCTCCTCCTCCTCCTTCTCTCCTCCTCCTCCTCCCTCCTCCTTCTCCCCCTACCCTCCTCCCTCCTCCTCCTCCTCCTCCTCCTCCCCCCCCCCCTCCTCCTCCTCCTCCTCCTCCCCCTCCTCCTCCTCCTCCTCCTCCTCCTCCTCCTCCTCCTCCTCCTCCTCCTCCTCCTCCTCCCCAGGGTCGGGCCCCGAAACCTTTGTGGCCCAGCCGAAGGTCCACCGCGTTGGGCATGGAGGTCGCCACGGCCCCCGCTGCCCACGAGGGCCCAGGCGGCCTCCTCGGGCCCCGCAGCAGCGCGAGCCACCGGGGGCACCGCATCGGGCATGGATCGGGGCCTAAGAGACGGGGGTCTGTGCAGGGCCTAAGAGACGGGGGTCAGTGCAAACGGGGGTCAGCCAGGGCGCGAAGACCCCCTCTGGCTGACCCGGGTTAGCGAGCCGGTCGTGGCCGCGAGGCGGCCGCGCATATTGGCCGACCCGGGTTTGCGAAGACCTGCGATGCAGTTTTTGTTCCTGCATTGCATTTTTTTGGTTTCCTGCTGACCCGGGTCTGGATTGACCGGGGTCAGAAGATCCCCGAATGGAGGTCGCCATGGCACTCGCCACTCACGAGGCCCTGGCGGCCTCCTCGGGCTCCACAGCAGCGCGAGCCACCAGGGGCACCTCGGGCCACCACCGCCACCTGCAGCAGCCTGCGAACTCCCCCGCCCGTCGGGGTCCCGCTCTCCCCGGCAGCCTCCGACCTCCAAGAAGGAGGCAATTTTGGGGAATGTCTGGAATCTTGCTTTGACTATCTTGAATTTTTCTCCTCGATACTCCGCCTGTAGGGGGACACGCCCGACCTAAAGAGTAGACGCAGAGGGGACCAGTCTGCCAGAGGCGCCCAGAGCCCAGATCGCCGATCCTCGATTCTCTGACCTTCGAACTTGCCAGCCAGTTCCCGCTCGATCGGAGCTCGCTGCTGCCAGACCGTGGACCAACGCCTCCACACGCCGCGCGCACGCCCGCTGGGCACGCCGGCGCCTGGCCTCAGAACGGGCGTGGGCCTGCGTCCGATGGCATCCACCGCCCGCCACTCGGGATCCGCTCCAGCCCGCTTCGAGACCCAGACATGCGACGCCCTCATGTTTCCAGGACGGCGCCCCTGGAAGCCCCGACCCTCTCCCCGGGACCGCTTCTTCGTCCTGGGTCGCTCCTTGACGGTCCCGAGGCCCGGCGGGGGCCCCCCGGGGCCGAACATTGCCAAAAACCTCCCGTCCTGACTTTTTTGGCGGCGCGAGCGCGTCTGGGGACCGGTGTCGGGCAGCTCGGCCCGCTGCGGGCTCGATCTGCCCGGCGGTCCGATGGCGGCAGGATGCCCGCTCGGCGCCGCTCTCTGCGCCTCCTCGGGCGCGGCCGGCCCGCTTCGGTGCCGCCTCGGTGCCCTTTTGCGGCCCGCTTCGGTGCACAGTCTTGTCCGCTTCGTCAGCTGGGCTCGATGCGGATTGATCCTGGGATTCCTCGGTTCTCTCTCCGCTACTTCGCGTCGGCATACACCTGCGTTTTCGGAAGGCACAGTCTTGTCCGCTTCGGCCTCTGGGATCGATGCTGATTGATCCTGGGATTCCTGTGCTGTCTCTCTGCTACTTCTCGTCAGCATAAACCTACGTTTTCGGAAGGCACAGTCTTGTCCGCTTCGTCCTCTGGGCTCGATGCTGGTCGATCCTGGCATTCCTCGACTCTCTCTCCGCTACTTCTCGTCGGCAGAAACCTACGTTTTCGGAAGGCACAGTCTTGTCCGCTTCGGCCTCTGGGCTCGATGCTGGCCGATCCTGGCATTCCCCGACTCTCTCTCCGCTACTTCGCGTCGGCAGAAACCTGCGTTTTCGGAAGGCACTGGGGATCTCTCTCTGATCGGCGGTGGGCCCTCCTCCCTGGCGCGGGGGGCGTGCCAGAGGGCTCCGGCGCCGATCCAAATAGATCGTTGATGTGATTGTTTCTTCCTCCACGTGCCCTCTCCAATCGAACTCTCGCTTGGCATTTCCAATCAAATTCGGCTGCATCGATCCCAGAGCTCCGAAGTCTTTTTGATCCGCTAGGAGGACTCGGAGATCTGGACCTTTCCCCCCCCCCCCCCGACACAACCACTCAAGCCGTTCATCCAGCAGGACGTGTTGCCACGACAACCGTTTGAAGTCGCCGAAGGGGAATGCCGAACGCTGCAACGCAAAGAGAGCACGGTGGAAGCGAAGGAGGGGAGGAGACCAGACAGGTGACATACCAGAATAATGTTCAGACGTGTTGACACAATGCGTGCACTTTGGTAGAAGTCCACTGCTGTCTTGGCTGGCCGCGGCGCCGGTGTTCCACCCAGGTGTTCGCGCACCATCTTCTCGGTACACGATCTGACGCACGAGAGACCCAGGTCATCTAGATGATGTTGTGAAGACCTTACGGCTGGTGCCGCCGACCCTGAAAGGGGACGACGACGACGACGACGACGACGGCGTCGACGACTGCCGCACGCGAGACCCAGGCACCCTTGATGATATGCTGTGGTGCGCTTTCTTTTGCCTGCCCAGCAGCGCTCGAGAAAGGCAGCTGGCGCGGGCCCCGTCTAGCACGCACGCACCTGTCAATCTTGATGCGAAGGGAGGCTTTCTACCCAAAATCCCAGACCCTTCGCGTAACCCCGCCAGCCCGTACAGTCGGGGCCCTGAAGAAGGAACCCTTTTCGTTGGGGAGGGGCTCCGTGCTCCTCACTTGTTTCGCAGCTCGCCCTGGATTTTCCTTCGGTTGTCGATACGAAATCGAAGTTCAACTTGTGGAAAACAGGGGCCTCGTTCCTTATCTAGGGTTCCTTAGGTCAACGCCCCGCCTGCAGCCCGGCTCAAGCCCCGCGGAGCGGCCGCGCCGCGACGCCCCGGGTCGCGCCGGACGGCGCGCCCCCCGCCGGCGGGAGGCGGAGCCCGGCCAGCCCGCAGGATGGCGCAGGAGCCGCAGACGGCCGGCGCCACCGAGCTGCCCTCCGGCTACCACACCGACCAGCCGAGGCGTCCGGCCACCACTCTCCCAGACGGGCGCTACGAGGAGCAGCTCCCCAAGCAGGCGCCGCCCAGCGGCAAGGTCCTCTACACCATGGAGGAGGTGGCCAAGCACGACACCATGGACGACGGCTGGATCGTCGTGGGCAACCTCGTCTACGACATCACCAACTTCGCGAGGTTCCACCCGGGCTTCGTCCACGGGACGCAGGTCTCCACGATCATCGCCATCCAGCGCAACCTGGGGAAGGACTGCACCGAGGAGTTCCTGATGATCCACTCCAAGAAGGCGAGGAGGCAGTTGACGGACTACCGCATCGGGGAGCTTGCGCCGGCGCCAGCCAGCGGCCCGGGCGATCCAGCGCAGGGGGGCTGAGGGCGCCCGCTGCATTGCACGGGCGGAGCCGTCCACCCCCCCCCACGGCCTCGTTGCTGGGGTGGATGGTCTGACGGAAGAATCTGGAAATTCGGGGGTGGGACTTCGCCTCGGTGAAGGGAAGCTGCAAGATCGTTGACTCTGGAGTCTTGATTGTGCAGATTATCAGTGCAGTACAGCAGCCTTGCATCCGAATGGACGCGTAGGGAGAGCAGACGAGCAGCCAAACGCTGTGTCGAGCGGCGGCGACAGGCGAGGGAGCACGGCCAAACGCTGGCGCCGAGCTGAAGATGATAGATAACGACGAGGATAGATCAAATCAGCCTTTACACCATGTGGTACACTAAGTGTGCCCATTGTCGTCGTGGGCGGCCTCTGCGTCTCTGGTAAGCCCATTGTTTAGGCGTGCCGTCGGGGTTACATACAGCTGGTCTCACCAATGACGCTGCGTCGTAGGAAGCGATCTTCTTGTAAAGCTGGATCTGCCGATCGTGCAAGATATCCGGCAACGTTTTCACACATGACGTCTCCAGAACGGTGGCGTTAGATACCCGTGTTATGTACGAGCATGGAATATTCATTGTTGACGCTTCGCGAATCCCAACCAGCCCATCCAGAAACGATGCCCAGAGGAATTGCCTCGATCAGGGAAGTGGGCAGCACACAGAGGAAGCCATTCTGATACATCTTGGGATATCTTGAGCCATCTTGGAGGTCATTTTGGGCTCTCCCAGGCGCTCTTGGAGTCATCTTAATCAGTGCCCCCCCCAAGAGGCCAACATGTGGCTAAAACCTTGTAGAATCAATGATTTGGCATTCTCGCCGAGGCCTCTTGGAGCATCTTAGGTGCCTCTGGGGGGTCTCTTGGGGCCTCTTGGGGGCCTCTTGGGGGCCTCCTGGGGGCCTCTTGGGGGCCCCTTGGGGCCATCTTGGGGCCATCTTGGGACCTCTTGGGGCCTCCTGGGCGCTTCTTGGGGCCATCTTGGAGGAAATCGATCAAAGAAGAGGGGAGCTTCAATTAGGGCTGCCCCCACAGGAGGCCAAAATGGAGCCCAAACCCTAGTAACATCAATGATCTTGGCTTCCTCGTCGAGGCCGTTTTGGACGCTCTGACCGCTCGCGGCCCCCCCAGTCCAGGTCCACGGGGAGGGGGTAGGGGGAGGGGTAAACCCCTCCCCGAAGGGGAAGAGGGAGGGATGGAAGAGGAAACGCCCTCAACCACCGACGCCCAGAGGGCTGGTGGGAATATCTTTCTAAAGCCTCTACATTGGAAAGCATAAATCCTTGATCTGTCAGATTTCAAAAGCCATGAAGAATCGATTGAATATAAAGCTTGCTGACAATACATGCGGCACATAACCGCAGTTTCCTGCGTGACGTTATAGAAGTGTGCGCCCAGATTTTGTTCAAATCGCGAAACATGGTGCCCGATTCTCCCAGCCTTCGAGATAATTCATTCCCGGCGCGACCGTCGCAAGAAACCAAGCCTCCCAGGTACACGCATTCTCTCGCTGTTTTGATTGGATTCCCATTCGATTGCCGCGCCACGCCCGTAGTAGAAATTTGGATTTGTATTGTTTTGTCACAGTTTAATTCCAAGCCGTATTTCTGCCCTTCTGAAACAACTGCGTCCAATATAAATTGTAACTTCCCTGGGTGTTTGGAGAGCAGGAGCGTGTCGTCGGCGTACAGGATGTCCGTTGTCAGAACGTACGCGGGCTCTTCCAAAAGAGGCAGGTTGTCAAATACATTGTGCAACATCACTGCTTGAACATCAGTGTGCGGATTATATAGATATATACATACATACATACATACATACATACATACATATATATATATATATGTATGTATATATATACATATACATATATATATATATGTATATTAAACATGTTGTTTTTAAAGCCGCCGCCCTAGCCCTGCGCATGAGGTCGCTGGGACCCCCCCCCCCGACCCTGGACGCCGGGCTGCAGCTTCTCCCCTCTCCGCGGCCACTCTGGGCGCCCTGAGGATGGCCTGCTTGCCCCTTCCATTTCGGGGTGCCCCTGGGCTCTCGGGCCTGCGACTCGCCCGTGGTCGCCGCTCCCGACGGACGCCTGGTCCTCCCCCACGCCGCGTCCCCAGGGTCGCCCTGTACCCTTGGCTGGGGCGCCGCCGCTTTCAGTTCTGGACGTGGCCTTTTCCGCCGACTCGTCGCCTTTGCCGCTGTTGTGGTGCCCTGGCGTCGCTTCTCCTGCTCCCCTGCCGTGGTGGCGCTTCCGCCGCTGGCACGCTCCCCCTCTTGGCGGTCCAGAACTCTTCCGTTGAGCGCCTGCGCGCCCGTTCGTCGTCCTCGTGTTCATGGATTCCAAGAATTACGCCATTTTGGCGCTGCACTTCGACCAGTGACTCCGCTAGGTCCACCGCTTGAGCCGCAGCGTAGCTCGCTCTTGTGCGCTCTCGTGCGGAATTTAGTCCGCTGCTCGTTAGCCGCGTTTCTTGACGGTGCCTGGCTTTCCTGCGCGCTCGCGAACAAAAAAGTAGCCCCGCCAGCGTTTTTTTTTGTTTTTCCTGATCGCTTCTCTTATATTTTCTCTTGTCGCTCCTCTTTCCCTCTACGCGCGTAATTTAGGCCGTTGCTTGTGTTCTAGTCCCTGGACGCCGCCCGACTTTTTCGACGCGGTCGCGATTAAAATACATAATAAACTCGCCCCGCCAGCCCATGCAGAAACGATGCCCAGAGGAGTTGCCTCGATCAGGGAAGTGGGCAGCACGCAGAGGAAGGGTCCCCCAGTGGAGGCCTTGGAGCGTCTTGGGGGCCTCTTGGCGGTCCCGGAGTCTTGGGTGCCTCGGCGAGCTTCTTGGGGTCTCTTGGGGATCCCGTGGGAGCCTCTTGGAGGCCTCTTGGGCGCCTCTTGGAGCCCCCTGGGGGCTCCTGGGCGCTTCTCGGGGCCCTCTTAAAGCGCTCTTGGGAGCCTTGGGAGCGCACTTCGGGCCATCTTGGAGGACATCGATCAAACAAGAAAGGAGCTTGAATTAACAGTGCCCCCCCAAGAGGCTAAGATGGGGCCAGAACCTTCGTGAAACCGATGATTTGGGTTTCCTCGCCGAGGCCGTTTTGGACGCCCTGACACCTCGCGACCGGCCCCGTCCAGGACCAGGGGAGGGGGGAAGGGGAGGGGTCAAGACCCCCTCCCCGCCCGCAAGCCGTCTCGCTTACTCGCACCCGCCCCCCCAACACATACGTAGCACCCGAGTTTGGCCCGAGCCTCAGCATATTCAGCAGTCGTCTTTGGATGGTGAGCTTCTCGGGGCCAATCCGCCGCCGCCGCCGCCGCCACCGCTGCCGCCGCCTCCGCCGCCGCCGCCGCCGCCGCCGCCGCTGCCCGCCGCCGCCGCCTCCGCCGCGCCGTCGCCGCCGCCGCCGCCGCCGCCGCCGCCGCCGCCGCCGCCTGCCGCCGCCGCCGCCGCCGCCCGCCGCCGCCGCGCTCCCGCTGCCAAACCGCCGCCGCAGCCGCAGCCGCTGCCGCCACCGCCGCCCGCCGCCGCCGCGCCGCAGCCGCCGCCGCCGCCGCCGCCGCCCCCGCCGCCGCCGCCGCCGCAGCCGCCTCCGCCGCCACCGCCGCCGCCGCAGCCGCCGCAGCCGCCGCCGCCGCCGCCAAGTGTACTCTGTTTTTTTTTGACAGGGATGGTGGGGGGGGGCCGCATCGGGTTGGCTGCGCATGTTCCGAATTTGGAGGCAGAGTGTGTTTTGCATTTTTTGTTCAGGGGATGGTGGGGGGGTGTTGTCATGGACTCGGGTTGGCCCCCAGTCGCCTGGGGGAGGGGGTGTTTATTAATAGGGAACACTGATAAACCCCTCCCCGAAGGGGAAGAGGGGCAGATGCAAAACACCCTAGACCATCTACGCCCTCAGGGGCTGGTGGGATTCGCCGCAGGCATCGGTAGCGGAACGCGCCGGGCCTGCGTCGATCAGCTTGTAGCAGCCGCAGAATGAAGCGAAAACAAAAGTTCACCCACGGCGCAGCTGTCGTAGCGCTTTCGTTCCCAGCGCAGTTCTGCACGTGACCCTGATCTTGCGACCTGCTTGAGGGCCCTGGGGCCGAGCTCCGTTCTGACGGCCCCTGGGCCCGGCAAGTGCCACTGGAAACTTGCAGGGCCAAAAACCTCCCGTCGTGATGCTGGTCACGACGAGAGGACGTCGGCCTTTCGGGCCACTGCTCGGGTCTTTGGGCGCCGCTCGGGACGACCCGGGCACCCCCGGATCGCTCACGGCGAGGCCCAGCTGGTGGAGAGCAGCCCCAGGCCAAGGGAACCTCTCAGGAACCGATGCGAAGACGCACGGGGGCCTCTCGCCGTGGTCTTCGCCCACCGCCCCGCCTCCCCCGCCGCTCCTAGCCGCCCGTCGAGGCCGGCGCCTTGCAGGCTTGCCAGATCAAGGGTTACGTCGGGCATGCCCCTCCGCAGGGGGAAGATTCGCCGAAGATCGTAAAAAATAGTCCGGGAACGATGTTTTTTTTTTTGTTTTAAATGGATTCTCTGACTATGTGGGAGTATGTTTTTTGACTCTTTTTTAACTGCTCGCCCAAAACCCGCCTGTAGGAGGACATGCCCGACCTGACGCAAGTGTCCTGCGCATCGCTTCCCTTGCGCGCTCCGTGGGCGAAGAGGCCGTGCCTCTGGGAGAGTCCTGCCCCCCTCGCGGGCCCTCTCCGCTCGCGGCGCTGGCTGCGGCAGGCAGGCGGCAGGCTGCGGCAGGCGATCGGTTGTTCCTGCAGCACACCTAGACGAGCCCTCGAACCAGGGGAGGTGCGGGTCCAGGGATCCAAAGTCCACCCCCGGACCTCTTCGCCCCTTTCGCGGGCCCTCTCCGATCGCGCCCTCTTCGCGGGGCCCCTCCCTGCCCCTCTCGCGGGCCCCCTCCCTGCCCCTCTCGCGGGCCCCCTCCGATCGCAGCTGGGCTGCGGCTGGCGTCCGACGCCCTCGAAGCAGGGGAGGTGCGGGTCCAGGGATCGGCTGTTGGCGGGTGCGCTTCCGTCCGTGTCCGTGTGGACGATGAGGCGTCAGTCTAGCGGCCCGTATACTGACGCTACGCGCTCTGACGAGCTCGACAGCTTGCCTAAGAAAAGGTCCAGGGATCCAAAGTCCATCCCCGGACCTGCTCTGGGGTGCGCTCTGAGGAAAGATCCGAAGCTGATCTTGCCCGTGGCGGCGAGGAGCCGCCCAACAGGCTTAGAGAAGACGAAGCACCTGCACAAACCTTGGGGGGGCTTCTGCCCCCCTTCGATGTGCTAGAGTTTCCCCCTGCCTCCGAGGCGGGGAGTGATCCACAACCACCGCTTGAGAGATCGATCTTAGGAGACGTCGGCAGGCGGCGGATGTGGACATATATGTGGGCCTTTGGGGGGCATACCTATCCATGCCCACCGCCTGCCATGCGCCTCAGGCGGTGGTTATGGATGACCCCCCTCGCACTGGAGGCAAGGCACGACACAAGACAGTCCGACGGCACTGGTTGCGGATGGTGGCTCGCACCTTCGCGCGATACCTACACGCGGCACGGGCTAGAGGGCAAACCAGTTCAATACGGGACAGGATGCCACAACACGGACAACACGAACTGAGGATCCAGCCCCCACGCTGATGCCCTCAAAGGGGTCCCGCTCCCGGCGGTACCGCGCGCTCGCCTTGACTCTTCCCAGGAAGACCGATTCTTCAAGCCGTGGCTCTGGACCCAGACATTCGACGATACGATACCTTCAGTGCGCGGCCCCAGAGGTCCCGACCCCTTCCCCGGGGGTAGTCTTTCATGCCATATGCATATTTGATGGCCCCAGTGCCCGAGCTGAGACCGAGGCGAAACGCCAGGATTAACATAGCCATCCCTGACTCCAGATCCGCCCTATTTTGTTTTTTTTTCCAACTCAGAATTGCGTCGGAAATCCACCTATAAGAAGCCGAAAAAGTAGGGCGGACATTTCTGCACCCAACATAACATAGGGCGGAGAAATCCACGGAAGCAGGGCGGAAACAGCAACAGAAAAAAGCAGGGCGGAAACTGGCATCAGCGGGGCCTGAAGCGAAAGGCGGAAATTCCAAGCCCCACTTACGAATTTCCCCAAGGTAGGGCGGATCCGCCCTGGATGCCTTCCTGGAATGTCCGCCTTACTTTTCAGGCCCCGCTGATGCCAGTTTCCGCCCTGCTTTTCTGTTGCCGTTTCCGCCCGTGGATTTCTCCGCTCTATGTTATGTTGGGTGCAGCAGTTTCCGCCCTACTTCTTCGGCTTCTCATAGGTGCATATCCGACGCAGTTCTGAGTTGGAGCAAAAGCCAAAGTAGGGCGGATCTGGAGCCGGGGATGCCGTCGGCGATCCGGGCATGGGGCCGCCGCCTGCAGGAGGCACAGCCGCCGAGGCCGGAGCGCGCAGACGCCGTCGCGGCCGAGGCCCGGGCGCGGCCCGCACGGGAGCAGCCGAGGCCCGGGCGCAGCCCGCGGGCCCCCGGAGGGCTCCAGAGGCTGAGAGCTCTCGAGAAGGCGACGCCCGGCGCCGCACGGGTGGCGCTGCCGAGGTGGCGCCGCCCGCCCGCACGCTTTTCTCGTGGCGCGCCGCGCCCCCCCCGCCCTATTGGGGGACAAGGCGTGCGCCGAGAGAGAGAGAGAGAGCCCCGGCAGGGGCACGGCGCCTGCCGGCGTCCCCCGCTCGCCAGGGGGCGAGGGAGAGGGAGAGGGAGAGGGAAGCAGCAGGCGAGGAGAGGGGGGGGGGGGGAGGCGGGGGAGGGGGGGAAAGGCAGCAGGCGGCGCCGGCGACAGGAGAGAGGGGGGGAGGAGGCGGAGAGGCCCGCCGGGGGCGGGCCGCGCCCAGCGCTGGGGCGCCGCGCGCAGCCGCGCGCCCGAGGCCGGCAACCTGCAGACCAAGCTGCACGTGATGGACGTCACCGCCCCGCGCGGCGAGGGCCTGCCGGCCCCCTTCCGCGTGCAGCAGGAGGCGGCCCCCCTGCGGCCGCCGCCCCCCCGCCGCGGGGCCGCGGGGCCCCAATTAGGGGAGGCCCCCCCTCCGTTCCTCGAGGCCTCCTCCGCCTCCTGCGCCTCCTCCCGCCTCCGCCTCCTCCCTCCTCCTTCTCCTCCTCCTCTCCTCCTCCGCTCCTCCTCCTCCTCCTCCTCCTCCGCCTCCTCCTCCTCCTCCTCCTCCGCCTCCTCCTCCTCCTCCGCCTCCTCCTCCTCCTGCTCCGCCTCCCCCTGCTCCTCCATTCCATGTCCTCCTAGAGAACTCCTTTCAGTTGCACCACCGAACGTGTCCGTAGGCCGGCCTCAGCGGGCGCCGCGCGCCCCCGCTCCCGCGCCCGCCCGCTCACGCGGCGGCCCAGCGTGCACCGGCCCCTGCAGCAGCCAGCCGCCTCCCTGTCAGTTGGCGCTCTCCTCAGCCGCAGGAGCGCGCTCGCGGCGGCTCAGCCCCCGGCCCGGCCTGCCCGCGCCGGCCGCCCAGCCCTGCGCCTGCGTCGCCGCCAGCACCGCGTCGGCGGCGTGGCGCTGCAGGACGCACCAGAGCGGCTGGTGTAGTTAGTCGCCAGATGGCCATGGCCACAGAGCGCTTGGTGTCCTGGACGGGCGCCGGCAGGCTCGTCAGGGCCAGCGCCTCCTCACCCAGGCGGCGGTGGTCGTCCACCACGAACGTGACCACGGCCACCGTGGGGTAGCGGGACCGCTTGCGCCGCGCAGCGGCCAACGCTGCGGCGCCGTCACGCCGCGCAAAGCCGAGCGCGAGGGCGTCCTGTGTGAGCGCGCTCACCACGGTCTGGTTGACCATGAGCGGCTCGGCGCGGCGCGGGGCGTGGACGACGAGGTCCATCCGCGCCTCCGGGCTCTCTGGCGCAACGTGGGGGAGCAGGACTTCCCGGTGCACGGTGCACCCCTGCTCCTCGCACCATGCCGCGAGCGCCCCGCAGCCCGCGTCGTGTCGGCGGACCAGCCACCTACCCACGGCGCAGTCGCGCGCATGCCGCTGTTGGGGTCCATCTGTGCGACGCATATCCCGCCGTGAGGGTGCCGGTGCTGGCAGAGCCCCGGCAGCCTGGGCCCAGCTGCGCCCGCATCTGGTGGGGGGCCCACGCATCCTGGCATGGCGAGGTTCAATCGAGGATGTCATGGCGCCCTCTGACAACAACAGATCGGGGGTGAAAAAAGGGGGGTTCATGTGTCAAACGACAAAAACTTGGGGAGTCGGAGTCGAGGTCGGGTCAAACAGCGCAAGGAGGCCGCCGCCACAGGGTCCGCAGCCGCTTCGTCCGCAGCGCGGCGAGGCGGGCAGCCGCAGCGAGGGACACCGTGGCCAGGCTGTGCTGCGCAGCTGCCAGCGCCTCGTCGCCCACGTCGCGTCACGGAGCGTCGCTGTGGCCGCCGGCGGAGCGCGGCGCGCCCAGGTGCTCCGCGCTGCCAAGGGGGCGGCGCTCTCCAGGCCGAGCCGCCGCGGGCCGTGCGGCAGGCAGGGGCGTCAGGCGGCCGCCTTCGCCGCGGGGGCCGTGGGCTCCACGCTCTGCGGCCCGTGCCCTCCGGTGGCGCCGGCGAGGAATGCTCCCCTGCGCGCGGAGCGCCGTCCCCAGACCCCCGACGTCATGATTTTTTCATGACGCGACCCCCAGAGGTCCAGACCCATTCCCCGGGACCGGTTTTTCATCCCGAGTCGTTTTTTGACGGTCCCGAGGCCCGGCAAGGGCCCTCAGAGGCCGAAAATAGCGAAAAACCTCCCGTCGTGCTTTTTTCACGACTCGAGGAGGTCTGGGTCCAGCGGAGCGCCCAGGGTGTGCTCGCGCGCCGCGGCCAGCGCGCCCGCGGCCCCCCGCTCGGGATGCCGCGGGTGCTGCGCCAGGAGCGCGCGTTAGGCGGGAGCCCGTCCGCGTGCGCAGGGCGGGCCAGCGCCACGTGTTTCCGTCGAGGCCCGCCGGCGGGCCGTCCGCAGCGCAGCCGCCTCGGGGCTGCCCTCGGCGAGGAGGCTACCTTTATGTCGGGCGTGTCCCCCTACGGGGGGATTTTCGACGAAAAATACCCCCAAATACCCCCAAAATGCCCCAAAGAGGCCAACAAATATTCAAAACAAGTCCCCATACTAGTTTTGGATTGTTGTTGTTGTTGTTGTTGTTGTTGTTGTTGTTGTTGTTGTTGTTGTTGTGGTTGTTGTTGTTGTTGTTGTTGTTGAACATTATTTATTCTAAAGAATAATTATTGTTGGGCCCCCTGGTGCGCGCCCCCCCTGCGCCGCCTAGGCCGCAGCTACATTTTCATCATTTTCGTGAGGAAGCCTCAGGTAAAACGATGTGATCCAGATCCGGTTGTTTTGTTGTAATCCGTTTTCCCTTGCAAAAAACACTATAAAATGACATTTCTTGTTCTAATATAATCAAATTTCAAGAATCCCTTGCAAAAAATAAGGTAAAGTGGACATTCGCGCGCGCAAGACGAAATCCTTCCAAAAGCTTAGTGTTCGGAGCGATTTTAACATAAAAACATCAAAAAACCAATGGTTTTTCAACAAAAAATGTCAAAATCTCATCCCGCGCGCTCTTGCGGATTCGTAGGAAACCCAACACTTTTTAAACATTTCTGTCAAACGGGCTTTTGCGAGCAACTTTTTCGAACTTCTGCGACAACGGTTGCGCACCTGCCAGGGCCATCATCCCTGTCAAATAATACCATGCGGGACACATTCGTTTTTTCTTCGCGCGCGCACGCCGTCGTCGTCGGCCGCGGGGCCCTGAATAGTAGCCACGGTCGTCCGCATGCCACGAAGTGAAGTGTCCGAACGTCATAGGGCGGGAAGCTGGGTGTGGGTGGTGGCGAAGAGTCGTTTGGAAATTTGGTAGAGCTTGAACCGGCCCCCCCACAAAGTGGGGGTATTGCCCGCCTCCTATGAAAACCCTGGCACTGGTGAGAACGGAGTGTCCCCACGTGCTAGTAATTGTTGTTGTTGTTGTTGTTGTTGTTGTTGTTGTTGTTGTTGTTGTTGTTGAACATTATTTATTCTAAAGAATAATTATTGTTGGGCCCCCTGGTGCGCGCCCCCCCTGCGCCGCCTAGGCCGCAGCTACATTTTCATCATTTTCGTGAGGAAGCCTCAGAAAAGAGGGTGTGTACAGGATCCGGTTGTTTTGTTGTAATCCGCTTTCCCTTGCAAAAAACACTATAAAATGACATTTCTTGTTCTAATATAATCAAATTTCAAGAATCCCTTGCAAAAAATAAGGTAAAGTGGACATTCGCGCGCGCAAGACGAAATCCTTCCAAAACCTTAGTGTTCGCAGCGATTTTAACATAAAAACATCAAAAAACCAATGGTTTTTCAACAAAAAATGTCAAAATCTCATCCCGCGCGCTCTTGCGGATTCGTAGGAAACCCAACACTTTTTAAACATTTCTGTCAAACGGGCTTTTGCGAGCAACTTTTTCGAACTTCTGCGACAACGGTTGCGCACCTGCCAGGGCCATCATCCCTGTCAAATAATACCATGCGGGACACATGCGCCCAGGAATTCCACAAATGTGACCAACTATCTTGCGAGTACGTATCATCTCATGTGTGTCGTGCACACTATCAAATGTAACAGAGTTGTGTATTCCCATCATCCCAGGAACTTGACCCAAAAATGTGACCAACTCCGCTCTCTCTGTCTCTCTCTCTGTCTGCTCTCTGTCTCTCTCTCTGTCTCTCTGTATTATGTATTGTATGGCACAATTGCACCATGCTGGGCACATGCGCGCCCCGAATAAGTGACCAAGTTCTGTGGGTGTGTACCCCACGCCAGTGTAGTAGCCACGGTCGTCCGCACGCCACGAAGTGAAGTGTCCCAACGTCATAGGGCGGGAAGCTGGGTTTGGGTGGTCGCGAAGAGTGGTTTGGATATTTGGTAGAGCTTGTAATGCCCCCCCCACGAAGTGGGGGTATTGCCTGGTGTCGTATGAAAACCCTGGCACTGGGGAGAACACCACGCGTTCGGGTAAAATGATTGTTGTTGTTGTTGTTGTTGTTGTTGTTGTTGTTGTTTACTATTTTGGGGTATTTGTTTATTTTTCGTCGAAAATCCCTCTGTAGGGGGACACGCCCGACTTAAGGCTACCGTCCGCCGGATCCGTGGCGGGGGTCGCTGGGACCGTTGGCAGCACGCCGTGGCGGAGCACCAGGGTCCTGGGTTGCAGCTCGCGCTGCCCAGGGAGCGCCGCCACGCCGACCTCCCAGCCTGGACTCAGCGCGGCGTTGCCGGGGGTGCCGCGGAGCCCAGCCGCGGCGCCGGCGCAGCCTTTTCTTCTTCTTCTTCTTCTTCTTCTTATGTTTCTTCTTATTCGTATTATTGGTGTGGTTATTATCTTCTTCTTCTTCTTCTTCTTCTTCTTCTTCTTCTTCTTCTTATTACTCTCATTCTTCTTATTCGTATTCGTATTAGTGTTCTCCTCCTCCTTATTATTAGCATGACTAGTATTATTATGGTTATTCGTATTCTTATCACGGTTACTATTACTCTTCTTATCATGATTATTATTGCTAGTGTTCTTCATCTTCTTCTTCTTCTTCTTCTTCTTATTTTTATTTTTATTATCCTGCTCCTCCTCGTCCTCCTCCTTCTCCTTCTCTTCGTCGTCCTCCTCCTCCTCCTGCTCCTCCTCCTGCTCCTCCTCCTCCTCCTGCGTCCTCCTCCCCCCCCGAGGTGGCGATGCCGCCCGAGGCGCCCGGCGACTTCGCAGTGGCCCTGCACCTCAGCGAGAAGCACGGCGTTATCTTCATGATCACGAAGGCGGCCTCTCGGGGGGGGGGGACTGGCTCCCCTTCCCTCTCCCGCCAGTGACGTTGAATTCGGGCCTGTGCCCCTACAAGGAGATTTTCGACGACGAATCACAAATAGCCCAGAAATAATCCAAACATGGTCCAGGTCCAAAAATAGTCAGGGGATCATTTGTTGGGTATTTTTGGGCCTCTTTGGAGAGTTTTTGGGGTATAAAACAAAATCGTCGAAAATCACCCTGTAGGGGGGCAGGCCCGAGTTAAAGTGACGTCCTCGGGCCGTGTTAGAAAACACGACGGGAGGCTTTGACCACTTGCAGCTTCCAGCCGCCCTCCCTCTGGCACTGGGACGGTCGAACGACGGCTCGAGAGGGGGTCCGGATCTCTGGGGATCCACACTGGGAACACATCTCGACGTCGGGTGTCTACGGAGGACGGGGGCGCAGTCCTCTCGTCCCCCTGTCCCTCGCGTCTCCTCCGTCCTCCCTCCTCCCCCTTCTCGCGTCCCCCGCTTCCCTCTTGCCTCCTCCCTCTCGCCCCCTTACCACCCATGACTCCTCTGTGCGCCCCCCTGTGCATCTCCTGCATTCGACCCTCTCGTTCTCCTCGTCGTGCTCCGTGCGCTCCTCCACCTCACAGAGCCTCCTCCTCCCCCTCCTCCTCCTCCTCCTCCTCCTCCTCCTCCTCCCAGAACCTCCTCCTCCTCCTCCTCCTCCTCCTCCTCCTCCTCCTCCTCCTCGTAATCAGCTGGAGGATGCACTTGAACGTATGTGGTGCTCTTGGGGGGGGGTGGGGGGCCTGCGGAGAGGCCTGCGGCAGACCTCCGGAAAGAGGCGGGGCCACAGTGAGCCAGGTGCGCACACCGCTGGCGCTGCGGCGCGCGCTGCCGTTCCGAGGCCCCCTCCTCGCGTACGCTGGCGCGCCCCCGGGGGGTCAGGCAGGCGGGGGGAGGGGGTCGGGCCTCCTCGGAAGGCCCAGAGAGCTGCCAAGAGGCCCCGCAGCCCCCTGGGGAGGCACGCCCCCTCTCACACGCCCCCCTCGGCGCGTGAATGCTTCACTGCCAAAGAGTTCAGCCTCTCATCACCAAGAAGTTACACATGGTTCATTTCTAATTCTTCGAGAGTTCTTTGATTTATCTGGGGGGCCAAGATTCTCTCATCTCTAATTCTTACATCCTGGGCCTCTTCCTGGCCACTCGGGGGCTAGGAACAATTAGAGACGAGCACAATTAGAAATGAGCACGACTAGAAGTGAACGACGTGTAATCCTCCATGACCAAAAAGCTAATCCTGCACTGCCGAAAGCTAATCATTCATTGCCATTGCTGCCCCTGAGATCCTGGCGTTGCATTTCAAACGCAACGGGCGTTTTCGCTCGATTTCGGGCCCCGGGACCCTCACAGATCGATCGGGCTCGAAAAATGACGCGGAAAGATGAGGTCTGGATCTCCGGGCGTGATTTCTGCGACGTTGCATTTTTTTTTGCAACGTCGGATCTCAGGGGCGCGGGAAAAAAACGTGCCCCCTCGGATCTCAGAAGTTACACATTGTTCATTTCAAATTCTTCGAGGGTTCTTCGACTTTTTGGGGGGCCAAGATTGGAGATGAGCACGATTAGAAGCGAACGACGTGCAATCCTTCATGACCAAAAAGCAAATCCTGCACCGCCGAAAGCTAATCCTTCCTTGCCCTGGCTGCGCGGGGCCCAAAAACTTGCCCCCTCGGCGCGATCCGGGCGCGCCCGTTGGTGCGGCGAGAGCGCCGCCCGGAGTGATGCCGTGGCCCCGTACCCAGAGATCCAATGCATTGAAAACATCAAGACAGAGGTTTTTTCATTTTCGGCCTCTAGAGGCCCTCGCTGGGCCCCGGGACTGTCAAAATACGACGCAGGATGAAAATCCGGTCCTGGGGAATGGGTCGAGACTTCCTGGGACCCCGTGTTGAAAAGATCACGACATCGGATCTCTGGGTACGGCGGCCGACCGGCTCGGCACGCCGGGGGCCCCGGCCGGTGGTGAGGCCACGGCTGGCGCGGGCCTCGAGGCCTCGGGGAGCCCGGAGTTCAGCCGGGCCTGTCCCTCTACAGGGGGGATATTCAAAAATAGTCAAGGATACCGGAGAAAACCCTCAGGGCTATAGGGCTGGGGGGCTATAGGGCTAGTGGGCCCCGGCCCCGGCCGGTGGTGAGGCCACGGCTGCCGCGGGCTTCGGGGTCCAGCGAGCCCAGAGTGAAGTCGGGCCTGTCCCTCTATACAGGGGGAATATTCAGAAATAGTCACTGGTACTGGAGAAAAAAACCCACTCCCAGACCCCCGACGTCATGATTTTTTCATGACGTCGACCCCCAGAGGTCTCGACCCATTCCCTAGGACCGGTTGTTCATCCCGAGTCGTTTTTTGACGGTCCCGAGGCCCGGTGAGGGCTCCCAAAGGCTGAAAATAGCGAAAAACCTCCCGTCGTGATTTTTTCGCAGCGCGAGGGGGTCTGGGATCAGGGCTTTAGGGCTGGGGGGCTAGAGGGCTGGGGGGCCCCGGCCGGTGGTGAGGCCACGGCTGGCGCGGGCTTCGCGAGGCCTCGGGGAGCCCGGAGTTCAGTCGGCCGGGCCTTTCGGCCCGGCCTTTGGAGAGCGATGGGCCTGTTTTCCACCACCACCACCACCACCATAAAAGTCGGAGGGGGGCAGGAGGAGGACGGACCAGGAGGAGGAGGAAGGGGAGGAGCAGGAGGAGGAGGAGGAGGAGGAGGAGGAGGAGGAGGAGGAGGAGGAGGTTCTGGGAGGAGGAGGAGGAGGAGGAGGAGGAGGAGGAAGAGGACGAAGAGGAGGAGAGGAAGAGGAAGAGGAAGAGGAGGAGGAGGAGGAGGAGGAAGAGGAAGAGGAAGAGGAGGACGAGGATGAGGAGAAGGAGGACCCCCTCCCCCTCCAACTTGTGGAGGTGGTGGTGGAAGACAGGCCCAGGGAGTCCGGAGTTCAGTGGGGGCCCTTCGGCCCTGCCTTTGGAGAGCGTTTTTTTGTTTTTTGGTTTGTTCCTCTGGCGGGTAACGTTCCGTCGGGCCTGTCCCCCTACAGGGGGGATATTCAAACATAGCCAAAAAATAGTCGGGGGACTATTTTTTAAATCGTATGTTTGCGCATTTGGGGATATTTTTTTATTTTCGTCCAGAATCCCCCTGTAGGGGGACAGGTCCGACGTCCAGAGGAGTCGGGACCTGGCGGCCCTGCCTTTGGAGAGCGTTTTTTGTTGTTGTTTCCTCTGGCGGGTAACGCTTGCTACCCGGGCCCCCCCCCCCTTCCCCGCCGGGTAGCGCTAACGATCGTACGTTTTTGGGGGTTGGAGGGCGGACCCCCCTCCTCTCAGCAGGTACGGCAATTGGTGTTCCGATGGCGCGGGCGCACCCTGGCGGGCGCACGCCGCGGCCGCCGTTGCCATTACCCGCCGCCCCCCCTCCCCCCGGGCAACAGCCGTTACCCACAATAATTTTCAAACGCGGATTCACAAATGTGAAGCGTAGTTAGTCTCTCTGCACCCTCCCTCCGCACTTGCTTGCATCCGTCTCACTTCCCCCTCTGCCCCTGGTCTTCTCCGCAGCCATGCGATCGCAGCTGGGGCCCTCCGTTTGGCGGGTATACGCCTGCGACGTGGACGGCCGAATTCCGGCGCCACTTGCAAGCCGTCGGGGTCGCCAACCCCGAGGTGTGGTTTGGGCACGATGTCCGGCGCGGAGCTGCGAGCGACGTCTTTGCGGCCTCTGGAGTCGAAGCCATGCTTTCCCGTGGTGGCTGGCGCTCTGTCACGTCCGCGCGACCGTGCGTGTCGGGCGACGAAGTTGCAGCTGGCCTGCTCGCGCAAGGGGTCATCGATGATTCGGGCCCCGAGAATTGAGCGCGGCCACGTGGGCGCGCTTGCCCGCTGCACCGTGGCCACCCCCCTTTTCCGTTCCATTGGCATTGGGGCCGGGGTGTGTCCTCGTGTGCGCGACTTGGCCAATGAAGAAAAGAACGCGTAGGAGGAGGAATAGGAGCAGGAGCTAACGCGGATTCACAAATGTGAAGCGTAGTTAGTCTCTCTGCACCCTCCCTCCGCACTTGCTTGCATCCGTCTCACTTCCCCCTCTGCCCCTTGTCTTCTCCGCAGCCTTGTGGGTCACAGGGGGGGCCGCTTGTCCCGCCCTCCCACCCTCTTTTTCCCTCCGGCGCCGCTGGGCCGGGGTGTGTCCTCGTGTGCGCGACTTGGCCAATGAAGAAAAGAACGCGTAGGAGGAGGAATAGGAGCAGGAGCTAACAGGCAGTCTCTTTGGGAAGTGGCCCTGAGCACAGTGGCATGTTTCCACACAGATTCGTTCGCCGCCCAAGTCGGTGGCCACATGGAAGGTTGGCCGTACGGCTCCGGAGTGGGCCCGGGAGGCTGCAGACCCCGGGGGATCCCTTCTCTGCTGCGGGCGGCGGTGCCATCCCTGGCCAGTGCACGATTGGAGTTCCGCCGGCTTCCAGACCCTGGTTCCCAATGGTTCATACATTCGGGGGAGCGTGAGACCCGGGTTTGCCAGGACTCGGGTTTGCCATCGTTTTTTGACGACCGCGCCTCGGATTGTGACGAGGAGGAATTTCGTGGGATGTCTGCAGCGGGAGGCCTCGTCAAAATGCAGGCTCGGCCTCGTCATTTTTTTGACGACCTCGTCGGGGATTTTCGAATCCCCTGTACCCGGGTCTCACGCCCCCTGATACATATCCCATGCCCTCACCGTATTGTGTTCCCCAAGCCACCGCGTTTGAGAGGGAGCACCCTTCGTTCGAGTAGCGTGCAAAAGTTGCTGAGAACAATGCCCGCGACGCCGAAGTCAGAGCGCGATTACCGCCCCGCCCTCCTTGGTGCAACATCTTGACGGTCTGCGCACCATTGCTGTAACTCGTGGGAGCTTTCCCACGCGAGAGCGGGAGTTCGGGAACGACCCATCTTCCATCGCCAGACATCCGACGACGTGACTCGTTCAGTGTGCGGCCCCAGAGGTCCCGACCTCGCCCACGGGGGCCGTCTTCCGCCCCGACGCACCTGTTCCACTGCCCCGAGGGCCGGATCCGATGACGGGCCCCGGAGGCCGAAATCAGGGAAAGCACCCTACAGTCGGGGCCCTGAAGAAGGAACCTTTTTCGTTGGGGAGGGGCTCCGCGTTCCTTACAGTGTTTCGCAGCTTGCCTCAGGTTTTCCTTAGGTTTTCGATCGGAAATCGAAGTTTAACTTTATCGAAACAAGGGGCCTCGTTCCTTATTTTGGGTTCCTTAGGTCAGGCCGATGACTGTAGGATTGAAACATTCGGCGCCGTCCGACTTGTTCGCGTCTCCCCCTTCCGGGAGCAGCGGTCCTGGCCAATGCACGGGGCCCCGTGGCCCCGTGGGACAACAGGGGGCCAGCACGGCGTCACGCCAGCCCCGCGGGGCTCCCGAGGACTTCCCCCGAGGGTTCCCGCGAGGGGTCCGCCAGCACGGGTGCGCGTCACCGCCGCAGGCTGGCAGCGCCACACCAGTGGACGCGGCCACCGTCGGAGAAACATCGTGCCTGTGGCATCGGAGATCTGGCTCCGCGCCGCTGCTGGGCAGGTAGACACGCTGTTGGTTTCTAGTTCTTCGGAGGTTCTTTGATTTTTTTGGGGGGGGCAAAAAATCCTCTCATCTCTGATTCTTCTACCCTGGGCCTCTTCCTGGCCACTGGGGGGCCAGGAACGGCTAGAGACGAGCAGCATCAGAAACGAGCACGACTAAGAATGAACGACGTGTACCTCGCCGGCTCGACGAAGCGACGACGGGGCGCGCACGCCGCCCCGCGGCAAGTCCGGCGGAGCCCGAGGGGAACGCCGCGCCCGCCGCCGCTTGAGGCCCCCGCGACCCCCCCGAGGCCCCCCGCTCCTCGCTCGCGCCCGCCCCTCCTCCTCCTCCTCCTCCTCCTCCTCCTCCTCCTCCTCCTCCTCCTCCTCCTCCTCCTCCTCCTCCTCCACTTCTTCCTCCTCCTCCTCCTCCTCCTCCTCCTCCTTTTTTTTCTCTTCTTCCTCCTCCTCCTCCTCCTCTCCTCTCTCCTCCCCTCCTCCTCCTCCTCCTCCTCCTCTGCCGCGCCGCCCTCGGCCGCCAGCCGCGGGCCGGGCTCTGCTCCGCGCCGAGGCCGGCTACCTCTTCGTCTTCGACGCCGCCACGGCGTCGATGCTGGTGCGCACCCGCGTCTCCCAGGACCCGAGCCGGGCGGGGCCCTCCGAGGAGACCCAGACCTCCTCGAGTCCTGAAAAAATCACGACGGGGGGGTTTTCGCTATTTTCGGCCTCCGAGGGCCCTCACCGGGCCTCGGGAGCGTCAAAAAACGACTCGGGATGCAAAACCGGTCCTGGGGAATGGGTCTGGACCTCTGGGGGTCGCGTCATGAAAAAATCATGACGTCGGGGGTCTGGGAGGAGAGGCAGGGGGGCTCGGGCCGGTCCTTCGGCCGGGCCTGTCCTCCTGCACGGGGATCTTGGGCGAGGCATGGAAAGTAGTCAAAGCATGCCCCCAGATGGCCAAGAGATGGTCCAGACGTCGTCCCCGGACTATGTTTTGACTCTTTCTTGGGGAAGCAGGGGGGGTCCCCCTTCTGAGATGCTGGCGCTGCGCAGCTTTCTCTTTCCCCCGCCGGGCGCGTGCGCCCTGCTTTTTTTGGCGTCCCCGAGCCAGCACAGAGGGATCCGGAGGAATTGCCGCTGGAAGACTGGCTCCAGGGCTCTGGTCGGGATGCTTCGCGATGTTGGATTTTGTCGCAACGTCGGATCTCAGGGGGGGGGGAGGAGGGAACCGAGATCGGCCCCTGCTGGCCTCCTGGGACTTTCCATGAACTCCCGGGGACTCTGGGGGACCTCCTGGGGGGCACCCGACGCAGAGGACAGCCCAGGCCAGAGTGGGCTTCCCTTTTTGCGTCCGTCGTTGCTGCTGATACTGTCTGGTGGTGCTGCCGCGGCTGATGCTGCTGTTTCGGCCAATGCTGCTGCAGCAGCAGCTGGCCGTGTAGCAGTGCTGCACTGCCAGCTGCTCTTGCTGCTGAGCAGGTACGTTGGCGATACTGCTGCTGGCGGTGCCGCTCCTACTACATACGGTGTTACTAGTTAACTAGTCATACTGATGCTGATGCTGATATCTGTAGTGCTGTCAGTGCTGCAGGCTGCTGGCCCCCAGCTGCTGTCTGCCGCTACGGGGAGGGGAAGGAGGGAGCGGGATGATGGGTGGCGAGGAGGGGAGAGGGGTGGTGGTTGTGTGTGTGTGTGTGTGTGTGTGTGTGTGTGTGTGTGTGTGTGTGTGTGTGTGGGGGGTGCGAAGTGGAATTATTAAGGCGTAAAGGGCTTCTGTTGACAAGCACACTTTGGCGCCATGGCACATTCTCAAGATCCTCGATTGCTTCATGGGCGTCGGACGAAGCTCGGCGAGTTTCGCGCGCTGCTGTGACGTTTAAAGTCCGCACGCGGCGAACGACCGAGTCATCGATGTCGGGGGTCCTGGGATGAGCTCCTCAACGGCCGCCTTGGGGGGCCTCCTGTCGATGTCAGAGCGCAGCGGGATGGATACAGGGAGGGGGAGGCATAGGAGGAGGGGAGGAGGAGAAGGAGGAAGAGGGGGAGGGGAGGCAGGAGAGGAGGAGAGGAGGGGAAAGAGGAGGGGAAAGAGGAGGGATTTGGAAAAGGCGTGGAGAAGGCCGCAGTCCGACGCAGGGCGCCCCCCGCTGAGATTGAGCGGGCACTTCGCGTCGTGTGAGTGATGCGCAGTCCAGCCGTGCTGGTGATTACGGTGGAGGCGTGTGCTGAGGAATAGCCCCAGGAGGCGCCAGACCCTGGAGCATTCCTTATCCGATAAGGGCGGTGGTGATATCCATGGCCGATCCGCGATTGCAGTTCCACTGGCTTCCAGACCCCGGGTTCCTTATCTAAGGGTTCCTCATCCAGTGCCCCCACCGTATTGCGGCAGGACCCGTTCACTCTTCCCCGCCCCTCGCCTCTGGCCTGCACTGGCTCGGTGGGTGCGGTGAGGCTTGTTCCAAGATCCCTCGAGGTGCCGAAGCACGAGCGCCGTCCAGTCTCGTGGGCATCTGCAGTTTTCGCAGTCGAGCTGCCTTCTGTCAGAGCTGTTGCCCAGAATTGTGCATTACGGTTGGAGATGTGCCTGCGTTGTGCTACCCTCTTCGCTGCTCCGTTGGGCTCCCGTGAGGCTCTGGCGGGGCTCGGGAGCAAGGGTTCGCCTCTGGTCGTGCGCCCAGAGGAGGCATGCGCCAGGTCGCGTTGCACATGGGGATCTCTCCTTTCAGACGGGAAGGAGGGTAGGAGGAAGCGTGGGAGGATGAGGAGGAGCCGGAGGAGGATCCAGCCTCGCTCCCGAGGACCTCGGTCTCATCGGCAGGGGCGTGGCTCGGGGAGGGCTGGTGCGGGGCGCTCGGGCGGGGGGAAGAGGAGGAGGAGGAGGAGGAGGAGGAGGAGGAGGAGGAGGAGGAGGAGGAGGAGGACCAGGCAGGAGGAAGAGGATGAGGAGGAGAAGGAGGAGGAGGAGGAGGAGGAGAGGGGGGAGGAGGAGGATAAGGATGATAAGGATGATAAGGATGATAAGGATGATAAGGATGATGATGATGATGATGATGATGATGATGATGATGATGATGATGATGATGATGATGATGATGATGATGATGATGATGATGCTGATGCTGATGATGCTGATGATGATGATGATGATGATGATGATGATGCTGATGATGCTGATGATGCTGATGATGATGATGGTGATGGTGATGGTGATGATGATGATGATGATGCTGCTGATGATGATGATGATGATGATGAGAAGCTGCTGATGCTGATGCTGATGCTGATGCTGATGCTGATGATGATGATGCTGATGATGATGATGCTGCTGCTGCTGATGATGATGATGATGATGATGATGATGATGCTGATGATGATGATGATGATGATGATGATGATGATGATGATGATGATGATGATGATGATGATGATGATGATGATGATGATGATGATGATGATGATGATGATGATGATGATGATGATGATGATGATGATGATGATGATGATGATGATGATGATGCGCAGGAGGAGGAGGAGGAGGAGGAGGAGGAGCAGGAAGAGGAGGAGTAAGAAGAGGAGGAGGAGGAGGAGGAGGGGTATCCGGGGGGCTGGCGGTGGCAGCATAGGAGACCATCTTCATCTCCACTGGCAGCACGCTGTCCGGAGGATGCATCTTCGTGAACCGCAAGGGCCAGGTGATGTCGGTGAAGGCGCGGCGGTGGGGAACTCTCGAGGAAGGGTGCCGAAAGAGTTGAGGATGAGAAGGGCAGGTTCGAAGCCGCCATCTGAGCGAGGGCGCGTGCCTCGAAACAAGAAGGGTACATACAGTGCCGTTTTTATACATGATTAATTTATGAATACATTTATGCATGAACTCATCGTTTTAGTATTAAATCCCTGCATGTTTAAGACATGATCTGCACGCGGAGCATGTATGAAAAATCCAATATCTTTACAAATCCTATGTGCTAAAAACTGCCCCGTGTTCGAGGCGTCCGTGTCACCACGTTGCGTGTTGGCTCCGCGTCTTCGGCACCGCCTGCACCCCGGGCCCCGTCCTCTCCGGCCGCCTGAGGCCCCGCCCGCCTGTGCCTTGTCTCCCTAATTAAAGCTGTGCGTAGCCCGCCTAGCTTTTAGCGGAAGAGGTTCGCTCTCGCCCCGCCGACCAAAAAAGTGTTCGAGGCGTCCGTGTCACCACGTTGCGTGTTGGCTCCGCGTAGTGGTCCACGTGTCGGCGAGCGTTTCGCGTCGGACCTGCGTTTTCAGCCCACGCGCCCAGACATGCGACGTCCTGATTTTTTCAGGGCGGCGTCCCTGGAAGTCCCGACCCTTTCCCCGGGACCGGTTTTTCGTCCTGAGTCGTTCTTTGACGGCCCCGAGGCCCGGCGAGGGCCCCCCCAGGGCCGAACATCGGCAAAAACCTCCCGTCCTGATTTTTTCACGACGAGATCATGTCTGGGTGTCAGCGCGTTGCATGCGTGCACCCTGGCAGTGTAGCTTCCCAGCAGTTGCCGTCAGCTTCCCTCCACTCGCCGGCCTGCCCGCCGAGGTGCTGCGTGAGGCTTTGGCCCACCGCTTTCGGTTCATTCGTCTTGGCGCGGCCCGCTCTGACTGGACTCGCCGCTGGCGCTCCCGCCTGGGTGGACTCGGCCTGGTTCTTCTTTGTTTCCCATGCCGTCGTCGGCTGGGTGCCGTTTCGGTTCCAACATCTTTTTCTCCCCCTGCGCGGGCGCCTCTTTCGAAGT